AAGGAAATATCACAAGCAGCCAATCAGAGCCTAAGAGAAAAGCAACAAATTTGTCTAAACCGCGGGAAAACGCGAGTGAGCAGATTTGTAAATGCAACAGCAAAGTTAGCAAAAGGGAAATGTGAGAAAGAGCTTTGGGGAGATTGAAGAACGAGAAAACTACCTGAATCGTGAGATGAGAAATCAAAGTAAAAACAGGCAAACCGCCTAAAGCACGGGAAAACGCGAGCGAGCAAGTCGTGACTGGTTTTAGTTTTGCATCCGATTGGTTGAGTAGTGCGAGTTTCTTTGTACCAATCACAGAGAAGAGTGAAGCAAAATTAATGCAATCCTGGATTACTTGTGACACAATTGAAAACTGTCTTTTTCTCTATCACCTTCTCGTTCTCACTAAACTACAACCATGTTCTCTGATTCTTATTGAAGTGTGGCCCATTACGACCTTTTTGACCAGCAAGTGAACATGGGCTCGGAGAGGCTGGTAGACGAACACAGCACCAAGTGGCCTGCCAAGAGCATTCTTAAGCAGGTAGATAGGTCTTTTATCAAATAATTTCTAAACCAGGACACATCAATAACTCAAATCTGCTATCTTTGGGTAAACAAGTAGTAACACATCTCAGCAAAATAAGTCGCAGATACATGTGGAATACGCTTACAACAGTAATAACAGTAGTAAATTATTTAAACAAAAAGTTCTTCCTGCCGTCCACTCTGCGTAGTTTGTACAGCTCTTTCTTCCTAACGTCGCAGCATACGTGCCCCACTAATAACCTATGAAAGTTTTTGTCTTCAGCGTCAACAACTGCGAGCATTACCCGTGTCTGAAGTTGCCTACCAGTGGAAGGAGCAATCAAGTCGCTTCTGGGTCTGCGGTCATGATCACAAAGTGTATGCTCCAGACTACCCCCAGAGAAGTGCTGCTGCGGCTGCAGTATTTTGTAGAACTGCTCTCCGAATGAGCAATCAGTAACCGCGAATCACGTGATGCTTTCGGGACTTTGAAATTATAAAGGAGACGAAGCTTAGGGCATGGCCGCGTTTTACAAAAGGAACTGGCCATTATTTATCTCTGGGAAGGATATTGGTTGTGTCGCGATAGAATTTACCCGATCCAATATTGTAATAATCACTCCTCCATTGGCAAACAATTATCTCTAGTCCCCACTTTTGTATTCTATTGGCAACGACTGATTCCCCCTCCCTTCCCCTTGAACACCTCGCAGTACCCCCCTAAAAAAATTAATATTAACTCATAGAGTTTTTCATAGTATAGATGAAATACATAATTATGCTCTCCATTGCTATAGACGTAGATTTCTGAGTTCTGCAGTTCAATTAACTGCTGTTTTCTTTTTGTTAAAGAAAGACAGCATATTACTCTA